ATATTTATATATATATATATATATATATAGTATATATATATATATATTATATATATATATATATATATATATATATATATATATATATATATATATATATATATATATATATATATATATATATATATATATATATATATATATATATATAGTATATATATATATATATATATATATATATATATATATATATATATATATGTTTCTGATAAAATAAGATGGCAAAGGTTAATTCATTGATTTCCAAGGTTAATTCATTGATTTCAAAAATTTTTTTGAAATCATTGAATATTTTATAAAAAAAAAAAAAAGTTAAAAAACATAAGTAAAAAAAATATATATATATTCACCTTCTGATACACAAAATGTTTCTATGTTTTATATATTATAGGATATGTTTTATAATATATATAATTCAGTTTTACTTTATATAATAAAGTAAAACTGAATTTTAAATATATTTTTAGGGGTTCCCAAAATTTATCATATTCTAAAAAATTTATTTTCAATTTTAATACATAAAAAATGATATTTTGTAACTATTCTAAAGAAAACTATCCTAAATCAGGATAGGTACTCTGGATGTATACTTTTATATTACATGGTTAAAGCAACAAGAGTGGCCAAATCGAGAGAAAAAAGAACTAAGCAAAAAAAAAACTATTAATAAAAAAAAAATTATAAAATCCTTACAAACTTTCCGTACAAGGTGGATTATTTGCATCAAAGTATTCTTCGCTATCACTCAAGCTAGCACACTGATTGTTTAAGTCTCTAGCCATAGAAAGAATGGTTTCACGAAGTTGCTGAACTTCAGTAGTCAGCTGTTTTAAACACGAAATGAGAAGTTCTTTATGCTTCATTTTTTCATGCATAACTCGGCGAACTATGACACCAATACCAACTCCAAGACCAAGTCCAAATGCAAAATTTTTTGTAAAGTCAAAAGGGTTAAAGCTGGTTATAAATGACATTTTGGAAACAAATGGTTATAAACATGCACTTTACATCTAAAATAAAAAAGTGATTAAAATGATAAAGATTTCTGAAAACATTCTAATTTTTTTCTTTAAAAAACTATATGCTTTATTAAGAATATTAAAATATCTAAAGTTGATGTAAATGTCTATTATAAATAAAAGATATTTAAGAAATAGAATTTGCTTGTACTATAGCACATTATTGGGCATTAAGAATAGTTTAACAAATAGATGAATACCACTACCCCTTTTCATTTATAAACACAAAGGGTATTTCTGATAAACATGTATAGGAAAGAGATACGTCTGCCTCTATTTTTTTCATCAAAAATAAAAATTAATAACTATTTTTTTCTTTAAAAACTTGATAAATACACATTTTAAATAAACATTGTGAATAGTGCTTAACAATACACATTTTATACAATAGTTTCAAACAGTGTAGAAAACAAATGATAATGCATAAAACACTATTTTATGCATTCTGAGATAACCATTCGCTTGGCAATTCATCATAAAGCTATTTGGGAAATTATATAGGAGAAAAAACTGAATAATTTTTCTCATTTTTGTTTCATCCGTAATGCTGTAGAGAACACTGTTGAGTTATTCTACTACATATAATATAATATGAAATTGTTGAATATAATTGTGTACATTATTTGCAATAATTTGATAAAATTGTGTAGAATTAGCAATGGTTTGATATAAAAATATCAAATATGTTTGATATTTTAATTGTGTGTTATTCTGTGTACAGAATAACACACAATTAAAAAATTGTAAGCCTATAGTACAAAGGTTAATAAAAATTAATATTAATTATTGATATAGTTAGTCATGTAAACTGTATAACATACTTATCTTTATAATGTAAAAATAAGTTTGAAATTCCAAATATCTGTTGAAGTTCAAAATTGTAAATTGTTATTACTAATATTAGTTAGCCATTTTAACTAGTTAAATGGCATTTTAATTAGTTAAAAACTTACCCTATGAACTGCGTACTCTTTCAAATGTAACTTTCAAATGTATAATATACAGTTAAGTGTATATTGTACATTTGAAAGTTACATTTAAAAAAGTACACAGTTTACAGGGTAAGTTTTTAGGTTCACAGTTATTCAACTTGTATTACTCTGTATATTATGTTCTACTCTATTTATATTCTAAATTTAATGTTTGTTTGAAAATAAATTCAAGGAGAAAACTGATGTTAAATTTGGAAAAATTTATTAATGAAAAAATCTGTTGAACTATTAAGTATTTTGTCTTGTAGACCTGATCACATGAACTTTACACGTTTTTTACTTTTAACTGGAAATCTTTTGGAAGAAGTTAAATAAAAAAATGAATTTATTGAGTAAAGCGTACAGGAAGTTAAGCTTTAGAAGCTGATATTGTAGTTTATTTTCCCTTATAAACATAGACTGAATTAAATAAATTCGCTAAATGTTAAACGCGCATCAAAATAGATAAAAGCGGTGCACATTGTGCAGCGAGACGGAGTGTGCCCAAAATACCAAAAAAAAAAAATTGTCAACATTGCAAATTTGTTTTAATGATGAAAATGCGCTTATTAGAGGAAACAAGTAGGTACTTTAACATTACATGGTAATTATAACGTTATTTTATGTACTTATTGACTCATGAATTTGACAAGTTTTTAAAACATTTATATGCATTTTTTCAATTTTCATTTGCAATTATTAATTTTCTTACGCAGTAGATGTTTAAGGATAGATGTATAAATATTTTTTTGACACCCTTTTTTAGTCTGAGTAAGTTCATACCATTTAAGAAGGCTTAAAATCTTTAAACTTTTATAAAAACTTTTGGCACCTGTAAATAAAACTGGTATGAAAAATTTTTCCCTCCATGATTAAGTACTATCAAGCGGCCATTCCATGAAGAAAAGGAAATCGGTTAATGGTTGAAACTTTTTTCCAGTGAGCAAATCCCAATGATGTTTTAAAAATAAATAGATGCCTAACTTCCTCTTATTTTTTGAGGCGAAAATCGGCCATTATGGGGGGCAAATTTAAAAAATAGTAAATCCCGGTTGTTTGGATCAAATAATATTCAAATTTTATATTCAAAAAATATAAAACATGGTTAATTCTTGTGCTGCAGCAGGTTGCACAAGTAGAGTAATGAAAAACGACAACAGAGCATTTCATAAATTTCCAATTAATAACAGCGAATTCTGTAAAAAGTGGATTGTTGCTATGAAACGTGAAACATTTATTCCTACTGAGCACAGCCGCATATGTAGTGATCACTTTTTACCTTCAGGTTACAATAAAACCTGATTTTAATAACAAACCTAAATTAAAACCTTTTTCTGTGCGATCTATTACTATTGATTCAAAACCAAAATTCAAAAGAATGTTTAGTTCCATATCGCCACAAACAAATAAAAAGAGACTCGTTTAAAAAGTTTCAGAAACAAGCAGTCACCATCACATCGATTTCCATTCGGATATAAGTGATAACAATAATGTTGCTGCTAATAGTAACACAGTTTATATTAACAGTGTTATTTCAGATACAACAGAGAGTATTGATTGCCAGGTGAATATAAATAGTAGCTTTAATATTATCAAAAGTAGTAACAAAATTATTAATGATGATACTATTATTTCTAAAAGTACATTATCGACAAATGCAAGTCCAACTAAAGCAAAATTAAAAGCAAAAATTAAAATTCTTAAACTAAAGTTGCGACGAAAAGAAAAAAAAACTCATTAAAGATTATGCTAAAAAAATCTAAGGAAAAAAAAAATTGTTTCTGATGATGCTGCTAATGTTCTTTGTGAAAACTTTAGTGGATTGACTTTTGATATTATAAAAAATCAGTTTAAAAACAATACCTCACTTCCAAAACGGCATTGGTATACTGATGAAATAAAAAACTTTGCAATAACTTTGCATTTTACCTAAAGCATACAAATTTCTACGGCCTATACTCCATTTACCTGCTTAAAGCTCTTTAGCCAACTGGACTTCTTCTGTAGATTGTGAACCTGGCTTTTTTTGAAGATGTTTTAAGTTTTATTAGTATAAAAGCAGAGGCTGACATTAATTATAAATATTGTGCATTAATTATAGATGCAATGGAAACCAAAACATTAGTTCTAAGTGATAAAAAGACAGGTCAATTCATTGGCTTTACAGAATATGGAAAAGATATTGTTGCAACTGAAACAGATACACCAGCTACAGAAGCATTGGTATTAATGCTGGTAAGATTACGAGGTCATTGGAAAACACCTATTGGCTATTTGCAGAGTAGTAAAATAACAATTGAAAACCTTTTACGTTTATTAAAAAAGCATTAACAATTTCTTCTGATAAAAAAAATTAATGTACCTACGTACATTAATTTTTTTATCAGAAGAAATCCACTTTTTACAGAATTCGCATTTTATCAGAAACAATCCACTTTTTACAGAATTCGCATTACATTTGATGCTATAATAGATCGCTATCCGTAATACAAAAATGTTATCAGAAAATATTTTTCTTGATCTCCCTCTCAGAACTACTTTGTTTTTTCCGAATTTGCGTTTTAAAGTATACAGATTCTGAATTTAAAAAGTTCCATAGTTTTTGTCTAAAAGTTTTCAAGAAATTTACGATTTAATTTTATATTATCGAGTGAAACGATTTTTATCGTGTAAGATAAAATAGATCTAAAAACTGTTCTCAGCAGCTACGACTGCGTAAATACTAAGTTGTATATAAATATATGAAATATTTTTTATATATAACCAATTATACATTCATTTACATAGGTATATAAGAGTGAAATGATTTTTATCGTCTAATTCTAAGATTTAATTTGAAATATCGTTTTAACGATTGATAATACATTTAATTGTTCATTTAACTTTTTTAATTTCGTTTTTATTATCTTAAAAACATAATGTTTAAAATAATTGATTATCTATATCAGAATCAGAATCACTTGAAATTATTCCATTGTAAGTATCATCGCTGTCTTCGGCGAATTTGGATTTTTTATTGCCGCACTCAATGCATAGACATAAATCAGAACACGACAGCTCTGCACTCCGACATGAGCATCGTTTTGTATTACAACCAGTCGCGCATCTACAATAAATAAAATTTAATGCGCTATCGGGAGCAATTTCATTTGACAGCCATTTTATCTTCAATTCGTCGCTATCCATTGTCCAACCATGTTCAAAAACACTGGCATATTCAATTGAAGTATAGTGGCATGTTTCTAGATATAAGCTTGGTAATTACATCTCAGTATGTGTTGTACTCATGCATCGGAAGTTAGAGGCAATTGTTCTTCACTATACTTGCCACTTTTGAAGAGTTCATATCTCAACTCGTTAACTGAAGAAACAATGTCATTACCATAAAGGTGACACACAAATTTCTTTATTTTGGTAAATAAATCTGATGCCATCAAGTGATTTTCATCGAGCTCTGCTAACAAGCCTTCATACTCAGCTTTTTTTTTGTAAGACCTTAAATACTGAAGCTTTTTCTTTACCATAAAATGAACTTGTAGTATCGCATCCTAAAAGGAAAACACATAGATAAGTTAAGTTAAACAGTTAACCTGTAAAAGAATGAAAGCCAACTACAGCGTTTACAAAAGATCTACCCCAATGATCAGCTACTTTTCTTACATTAATTATACGCATGTTGTTTTGATTTCCGGTTGCAAATAATACGTTAATAGTAAAATATTTGATAGTATGTAAAGCAATGACAAATACATCAGTATTAGGTATGTTATCTATTAATCGATTAATCGTTTATTTTTTGATTTGATAAATTAATCTATTAATCAAAAAATTATAACGATTATTCGACATTTTATATTAAGATCGTCGACACTGGATTTGATGTTAAACCACTGAACTAACTGATCAAGCCATAATTTCTAAGAACATCAAGCATATTTACATTTATTACTTATAGAAAAGCTTTTATCTTCGTGCTTTACTTTTTTTTTTTTTTTTTTTTTCTTTTTTTTTTCTCTGTTTACATAACATAAGAATTTTACAGATTCTACTACATAATATAAAATTTAACAAAATAAGTAAAACAGATAGGGACTCAAAGAAGATGAGGATGACAGAACGTCATCGCAATCTTTTCATAGAACCCCTTTAACAAGATTTAATTAAAATATCGTAATATAAAATACAAAATAAAAATGTCAATAAAATATCATAACAAAATGCGTAATCCGCTAATAAAAATTGTCAAGCAACAAACAAAAGTAGAAACAAAACAAAAACTTATTTAAGAGAATTTATCCAAAGCATTATTAACAAAAAATGTTTCACCGGTTTTAAAGATTTCTTTTTTTGTTAAAAACTTGAATGAACTTAACGAACTTCACCGTACCTTTGAACCCTTTCTGAAAAATATTCCATACCTTTGGACCTCTATATAAAATGCTGTACTTTAAATACTTATTTATTATCCTTGGCAGTTTATATGTGTTCAACATATTCGCTCTAAGATTATAGTTATCATTTTTATTTAACTCAAACTTATTATTAAAGCTTATAGGAGAGATATTGTGATTGTAACGATACATGAAAATTAAATGCTGGTAGATATTTATTTCAGATACATTCATCATTTTCATATCTTTCATCAAGGGATTAGCGTGTTCCCGCCTATTTTTAAAGTAAATGATTCTACATGCATGTTTCTGAAAACTATAAAGTTTCTTAAGCTTTGCTGTTTGAGTACTTGCCCATGAAATGTTTGCATAGCTGATGAGGCTGTGAATTAGCCCAAAGTAGATTAATTTAAGACTATTTGTATTAATGTACGAGCGAACTCGATACATTAAACCTATGATTTTGGTAATTTTTGACTGGATATATATTATATGAGGAAGCCAGGATAATTTTTCATCAACAACGATTCCCAAGAATCTTATATTGGATTGCTTTTTAATTAATTTATCGTTTATAAATAGGTTCGGCAACTTGAGAGGAAGATTTTCTTCTTGTGCTTTTTTATGAAAAAGTATATAGTTTGTTTTCTCGGTATTAAGTGAGAGTTTGTTAGCCTTAAACCAGTTATTTACTTTATTTAGTTCAATATTCATGTCCGCATATAATTTCTTGATATCGTTGTTGGTAAGAAATAAATTTGTGTCATCTGCAAACATGACTGAATTAAGTTTTAAGGATGCATTACAGAAGTCGTTTATATATATTAAAAAAAGAAGTGGACCAAGAATCGATCCTTGCGGAACTCCACATACGATATTTAACACTCTAGATTGGGCATTATTTACATATTGTTTTCTGTTTGTAAGATAGCTTTTAATCCAATAATAAGTTTTATTAACTATTCCGTAATGTCTTAATTTATCTAAGAGAATACAGTGGTCCACTGTATCAAATGCTTTCGATAAATCAAGAAATACTCCTAAAGTAAATTTATTATTTTCAAAACCATTAGTTATTTGATTTACTATTTCAATGATTGCATGCTCAGTAGAGAGATTTTTTTGAAAGCCAAACTGATTTGTGTAAAAAAAGTTGTTTTTAATGAAGTAATCATAGATTCTATTATAAACTACACGTTCGAATAGTTTTGAAGATACAGAAAGTACTGATATAGGCCTGTAGTTTGTAATGTCAGAATGATCATTACATTTGTACATTGGGGTTACTTTTGCTAATTTAGGTACATCCGGAAATATCCCAGAATTTAACGAAAGCTTTAGTTATATGTATTAGAGGTCTTTTAAGACTGTGTTTGTTTGCAATAACTATATTACTAGATATTTCATTAAATCCCGGAGCCTTTTTTTTTTTTAACGAGGAAAAAGCTGCCTCAAATTCCTCATAGGTTAATTCATATTCAAGCATGATAACATTATTCGGTTTAAGGAAAGTTTTAAATGATACAGATGTTGGTACTATTTTTTTTACAAGATTTGGACCAATACTTGTAAATACATCATAATGGTATGTTGATAATAATCTTTTCGAATTATTTTTGCGGGATTGTGTGTTCTGTTTTCAATTATAGTGTACTTGCAAAGATTTTTATAAATCATATTATACTTTTAGGTTTTATCCCACAATATATGCAACACCAATGATATATGGGCGCAGCCAAAAAAAAGAAAGTCTAAGGTTTGGGTTCATTTATTAGAAAATATAAACGATTCACGAACTTTAAATTGTAAGCATTGTGACACCGAATTTAAATCTCATTTATCAACTAAATCCTTAACGTACCACATGCAACACAAACACAACCTTTTAGAGCCTGCTTCAGAAAGCTCATTAGTTGCACAAAGTAATTCTTAAAAGATAGTTTCATTCTATTTTCAAAAGCAAAATTCTTGTCCTGGGTTAATTCTAGCCAAGTGAACAGCATTTTTAAATGCCAAAGTTTTAAGCATTTTTAAATGCCAAAATGGTTTTAAGCATTTTTAAATGCCATTGTTAATAGCATTTAAAAATGCCATTAACAAGAAAAGGAATTAAAAATGTTACACATGAGTATGCTGACCAGATTAGAGAAAAATTAAAAAGTGATTTAAAAAAAAAGAATAGAGAATGGTGAGAGATTTTCGTTATCATTAGACGAGTAGAGCTCCAAAAAAAAACAGGCGTTATATGTGTATGGATATCAAAATCATATCAAAAATGGAAATGTGAATAGTCTTGGTATGATAAAAGTAAAAGGCACAATGCCAGCTACCAAGGCAGTTGAGATTGTTATTAAAAAACTAGCTGAGTTCGATTTGCAGCTCAAAAACCACATAACCGCTGTAATAACAGATGGATCGTCTGTAATGAAAAAAATGGGACGATTGATTGGTATTTATCATCACATTTTTCATAGTCATAGCATGCATTTGGCTGTGGTAGATGTTTTATATGCTAAACATACAAATTTAGTAGAATCTGATGACGAAAATTTTGAAACAGAACTTGATAACTCTTCAATAAGCGACGAATGTGATGATGATAAAGATTTTTAAAAAAACGAAGGACAAACTTGGCATGAAGTAGCTCCTGACAATTATGAAGTCAATTTTGTTCAAAATTTTTCATTATTAATTAATAAAATTAGAAAAGTAGCTCGTTTTTTTTGAAAGTCGCCTATAAAAAATGATTTTCTGCAAAGAGAGTGTCAAGAAAAACTGAGAAAGGAAAAGGCGATGAGAATTGATGTACGTACACGCTGGAACTCAATGGCGAGATTCCAATATAATTGATGCTTTAAAAAATATTTGAATTTTTACTTTCTAAATTGAAAACTCAATCAAGTGAGACTATTAAGAAATTCTACGAATCAGTAAGTAGGAGAATATTTGAACGTAGAATTATTAATGTTGAAGGTTTGTTAGAGTATTTAGATGATCCTAACACTTACCTTAAACCACTAACACAAAAAAATGCAATATTGCAACGATTAAAATGAAACGAAATTGCTCTAACAATTAAAGAAATTCTTTATCATTTATTTCTCATTGATAAGAATGTTAATGAAAATAAATTAAATCGAGATGAAGCTACATATAAATGTACTGAAAACATAACAAAAAAAAGAAGAATTGAATCGCATTTTGTCAAAGAAAAACACCCATCTTTCAACTGTAGTAAATTTTTAAAATAACGTTTCATCTATTAAAAAAGAAATGAACATTTTTGAAAAAATTAACAAAAGAAGTGGAAGTCATTTATTTGACCAAATGTACAATGCTTTGTTAACTATTTCACCATCGTCGCTCGAAGCTGAAAGACCCTTACTAAAAAACCCAGCGAACTTCCAGTGAAAAAATGTTCCAAAACCCAGCGAACTTCCAGTGATCTTTTCCAGTGATCTCTAAAGTTCACTGGAAATTTCCAGCGAACTTGTTCCAAAACCCAGCGAACTTCCAGCGAACTTTTCCAGTGATCTTTAAAGATCACTGGAAGTTCGTTGGAAATTTCCAGCGAACTTGTTCCAAAACCCAGCGAACTTCCAGTGAACTTTTCTAGCGAATTTTCATGTTTATGTATAAAAATAGATTCGCTGGAAATTTTTTTAAAAAAGATTTTTTATTTGTGCTATAAAAGTTTCAAAAGTTTATAAACATTTTAAATTTTTTATAACCAATAAACGCGAAATAAGAGAAGTTAAGCGCGATAAAAAAGTAATATATTTATTTTAAAATATCGAGTTTTATAAATTAAAATACAATGTAGGATTAGATTATCTTAGGTATAATTACAAATTCTCAGAAATAAACTTCAATACAGAATACAATTTTTAACAAGAAACTAAAAAGTTAATTTATTAATTAATGTAAAACATATTTTTTTATAGGCATAAGTAAACTTTATATTACGCATGTTTCTATATTTAAAAAGTTTTTTCTCGTTAGCGTTCTCATACGACAAATTATCACCACAAAACAAAAAGAATTAAGAAATTCGTCAATTCATCTTTTGAAAACCACTTTAGGCATTCTTTTCGGTTTGGGTCTTTAGAGCTAAAAAAAAAAAGAAAAAAAAAAAAAGAATGCATACAATAAATAAAGAATATATATATATATATATATATATATATATATATATATATATATATATATATATATATATATATATATTTAAACAATCTTCAAAATGTATTCTACAAAATAGAGTGCTCAATGTTCTTAAAAGAACAGAGCAATTATAAATAAGTAGAAAATTACTTAACAAAAATTTTTTTTCATTTTACACTGTTACATCGAAAACATTTAAAAACTTTTCTATTAAGTGACTTTCTACTAATATATATATATATATATATATATATATATATATATATATATATATATATATATATATATATATATATATATATATATATATATATATATATATATATATATATATATATATATATATATATATATATATATATTCTGATAAACAAATTTAAAAACTGAAGACAATACAGAGAAAAAATTAATGGACAAATAAACTTGCTACAAATCAATTAAAAATTTTATTACAAATTATGACAAAATAAACCTCCTAATATTAAAATGACAATAATAATGTAGTAAGTTAGTTAGATAAATTTATATTTAGGATTTTCCCATTTAATATGAAGTGCTTCTTTTATTTTTAATTTGTTAATGGTAGAGGCAGTATCCAAAATCTAAAAGCAATCAAAATTAGTTAGTGTTTTACAAACACTAACTAATAATTATAAAAAACATAATATTCAAAATAAGACAAAATGTGAAATGATAAGCAAAAATAAAACAGTATAAGATAGATAAAAACATACCAACATATTTTCGCGCAATTAGAATCAATCATTTTTTATTAATTTATCAATTTCCAACCAATAGCATTTTATCACTTTTATCCTGCATAAAAAAAATAATTATAGATAAAATAATAAAAACTTAATTATATATATATATATATATATATATATATATATATATATATATATATATATATATATATATATATATATATATATATATATATATATATATATATATATATATATATATAATCAATTATTATAATAACTAAATAATTTTAATTTAAAAACCCAGCAAACTTTCACTGGAGGTTTTCTGGGTTTTTTTTATAAGGAACTTTACAATTTTTAAACTAATTTTTTTTTAAATTTTCAACTGTTTAAATCAACAAAACAAAAAATCATACAGCTCTACTTTTCTGTACTGATATAGATATTTAAATCTGTAAAAAACATAATAGTCATTATAAAGCAAAACTTAAACCTGTATATTAGTGAAAAAGAAAAATATTGCAGTAAGTATATCTTATAGGCAATATGATGCTTAAGCATGTTTTTTAGCCCATTCCAAAAAAGTCGAGAACCATATGGCAGTAGTTAAATTTTTTATTCTGAATAAGTGTACTTTGTTTACTTTCTCTGATAACTTATATCATCTAATTAAAATTGTATTTATTAGGATATTTTAGTATAATTTTAGATGGAAAAATTATGAAGTCAGTGGTCTGTTGGTTCTCTACTGACAAATTAGCATAACAAAACAAACAGAATTGCGAAAATTGACTTTAAAAGTATTTTCGTTTGGGTCTTTAAAGCTAAAAAAAAAAAGATGGTTTATACAATATTTAAAGGACATCAATAACAATTTTATAAAAACATATAATAAATACTGTATAAAATACATACATACATAATACATACATAATATATATATATATATATATATATATATATATATATATATATATATATATATATATATATATATATATATATATATATATATATATATATATAGAGAGAGAGAGAGAGAGAGAGAGAAAGATTTTAGTTTACTTAAATAAAAACTGCATTAAAATATAATACCTGCTTTAAAAAAAGCTCTGTATATATATAACTGCTTTAAAATAACTTTTTAATATAAAACATATTTTCTTTACCATACAAATCAGAAAACTCATAAAAAAATCTATTAACTAATAATGTGGCTTCATTAATTACACTTTCAGATAATACCTTATTGTTCAACGTAAAAACAATATTAGATAAAAGAGTAAAATGGTCAAAAAACTGAGTAGGCAAAACATCACATAAAATAACAGGACCATAAAAAACTAAAAAAGTAAAAAACTCAATACCTTTCTAATGCTTTATACAACTTAATGATCATCGAGTCTGTCTTATATTGCTTGGCACACTGATTGCAGATAAAAGATTATTTACAACAGTACAGTGTCTTCTAATAGAAAATATATAACCAGAATAATAACTATCAAATCAGAAAGAAAACATAGCTTTCATAACACCAAGCTCAATACAGTGCAGATTATTAACAACTGTTCCATTTTCACAATTAAAATTAGGTACTCTTACAAATGTAGAAAAATCTAAAAACCCTTTAATCACATTAATCCAAAAAAAATCTGTATGGTCATACAAGACCTCCTACCTTTTTTTAACTTTTACCCCTTGAGAAGAACACCAATGGCAACCATTACAATCATTAAACTACCTACAACAAAAAACCATAGCTCCTGCAATTGTATTACACAAAATATAGATACATGAAAAAAAACACGAACATTATTAGATAAGAGTATACCAGTAGTGGATAGGTTAGTAAAAAATCAACAAAACAAGATAAAAATAATTGCACGTTTGGTTTTTTAAAACTGGACCAGAAACCAAAAAAAAAAATATTAGTAATTTGCAATGAATATGGAAAATTATGAATGGATGCTAGCAAAGGCCACAAGGTCCACTTTGATAATTTAAAAACAGGAATTCCATCAGTATTAACAACAAGTCTAATTGTTGCTTGCACATTTTCTTCAAGACTTGCTAAATGTATCCAATTGTTATCACACATGTTTTTATGCTGTTTGTTTATGTTTAAAATATGAAAATAACTGCATTTCTTATAAAGATAGGATAATGTAAAATATTTCAAACATTTTGTACATTTCTTATTAGTACTTAAAGCAACTTCACAAATATATATATATATATATATATATATATATATATATATATATATATATATATATATATATATATATATATATATATATATATATATATATATATAAATTAGTAAAAACACTTATCTAATTTTTATTTCTTCTACAGCTTGTTTCTCCATCAGTTGGATCATCAGAAAGTTTCCTTCCTGATGATCCTACTGATGGAGAAACAAGCTGTAGAAGAAAATAAAAATTAGATAAGTGTTTTTACTAATTTATTATTGCTCTGTTCTTTAAGAACGTTGAGCACTCTATTTGTAGAATACACTAACATATTATATATATATATATATATATATATATATATATATATATATATATATATATATATATATATATATATATATATATATATATATATATATATATATATATATATATATATCAATATATATATATATATATATATATATATATATATATATATATATATATATATATATATATATATATATATATATACTGAGAGAGAGAGGGATATATATTATATATCCCTCTCTTTCAGCGAGAGAGAGAAACAGATTGTTATTTATTATTTTTAATATAAAATACTTAATCATAAAGACATTTATAAAAATTATTTTTATAAAATAATAAAGTTGAATTTAATAAATAAAATGCATTCGCATAAAGCGAATGCATAATAAACAATACTTAAGAGAAATAAACATTTTGAGCAACATACCAGATGATTTTGTTTTGTTACTTGAGTAGAACTAATAATAATTGAAACTCACACTATAGATCATCTATTAGATGCAAAAAATAAAATAAAAAGGATTACTTTTATACAAAAATTTGAAATATTATTTTAAGAAGCTATATTATCAATTTTCCAAGTTTTAACTGCTTGCAGAAGTTGTAAAAGCAACGCTTTTTACATCACCGCGAAATATTTTGCAAGAAACCCAGTAAACTTCCAGCGAACTTTAAGATCACTGGAAGTTTTTTGTTGGATTTCCAGCGAACTTCCAGCGAAGTCTTTTGTTTCCATGGAAATCCAGCGAAAACCCAGTGATCTTAGTAAATTTCCAGTGATCTTTTAATTTCCAGCGAACTTTCGCTGGAAGTTCGCTGGGTTTTTTTGTAAGGGATGTTTTAGTGCAGCAGGACTTTTTGTAACTAAATTGAGAACTAAATTAAACGATGAAACGATTGATTTGTTATGCTTTCTTCGACCATATCTCTTACAGAAACAAAATGAACATGAAATAAAAAATCTTATTTAAGTTTAGTTATATTGAAACTTCTGAAACGTTATTCACTAATGCATTAAGAATTAGTTATAAAACTTATTATGTCTCAATAACTATAAAATTTAAAATTCTTTGCCTCTTTTAACCATTATAATATCATAACCAATCTTATTACTGTGGAATATTTTATTACTTACAAAATTAATTTATATTAAAAAAAACTCAAATAATAATATTTCATAAATTAATCGATGATTCGGTTTTTTTAAACCGATTAATCGTTAATCGAAAATTTCCAAAAATGATTAATCACAACATGCCTAATCAGTATCAGGACTCCAAATTATAACATTTTCGTGAGATAAAGCTGCATGGTAACAGTGAGCCATTAATCGAGTATCTGCTTTTTCATTGTCACTTTTAAGAGAGACTATTTCAGATACTACCACATTATTTGCTGATAACATAAATTGATAGCATTTTTCTTCATTGGTTAAATAAACACTCTTATTTGAGAAATAAAATTTATTCAATGAATTCCAATGGATAAACAAAAAAATTATTAGTTCTTCTTTATTTTTGCTATTTGAAAGGAACTTTTTCCATTGACGAGGTATAGGCTGTAGTTTATTTAATATACGAATAATTGAAGTTCCATGAGTAATTCTTTTCACTCGCTCTAAACTTTTAATACTATGATTAATATACCTATCTGAAACAAAGTCAATACGCTGACACCCATAACAGTTGGACAGATTAATAATTTCTTTTCATATATATTCAGCTAACTCACCAAGCGTTTTGACTCTAAATTGCAGTGTTTGTAACAGTGCCATCGCGTCCACTAGTAAAGCTCCACTTTCAACAATTGGCAACACCAGTGAATCTTTAACAGACTCTTCAAGAATTTTTAACAAATTACTTTTTGTTGTTTTTACTAAAGTTCCATCAGCGGTGGCAAAAGGTGAGGAATGAGGTGAGGGATGTACTTTAAAACTTCCTTCATGTCAATATCTCTGTTTTTTGCCAGCAATATTAACTTTGCAAACAAATTTGTGGTGTTCTATATTTCCACCATTTCCCCTTTTTTAATTTTAGTTTGCACTTTATTGTGCATGTTGAAAAATGTATGTAAATCGTTTTTTTAATTCGAGAAAATATGTCTGGCTCTTTGCAAAACATATTTTCGTTAACAAAACTCTCAGCTTTTTGTTTTCCTATTTCCCAAAGAATGAGCATATCTCTTGAAGTATTTTCTGTGGCAACTTACCCACTTGCTAATTGTAGAAGTTTCTATCTGTCATCATCAAAGGGGTTTACCATTATATTAATAGTCTCCAGAATTGATGTAACATCCTCTTCATACTTTTTAATTCTTGATTCACCCAAGTCTTTTCTACAACTTAATATCATGTTTAAAAATATACTTTTTAAACATTCTTTAAAAAAATTAAAAAAATCTATTTAAAAAACTAGATTATAAAACTTTTTTAAAAACTTTAGAATGTAAAACTATATCCATTCAATCAATTATGTATTTTCATAAATAAAAAAAGGATTGTTACTACAAATATGTTTACCGTGTTATTGAAGATACTCCTGCAAATTCCTCAGCTACTTCAAATAACAAAGCCCTTTCCACTTGGGTTAACAACCATCTTTTAACAGCTCCTGGCTTATGTGTCATACCTACAATACCACATGTAACTTTACTACTCCTGTTAAAAGTTTGTTTTATACTTTGGTCACATGCAATATCTGCAAAGCCATATGATGCCTGTCTTTTAACTGTCCAGTTTTCTCTTATTTCATGACAAATAAACAAAAAAAAAAACATAAAAAAGAAAACTATTGTAGGTTGATTACCAGAAAATCAAACATATAAGGTAATTCTATAATGTTTTTAAAAACACAAAAAACAATTATCTTGTAAGTAAACTATATATTGTTGTAAAACAAACTGTTTTACTTAATCTTAACACTTCAATACAATAGGAAAATCAGACAATATCTTTATGAGTTTGATTAAGTACACTCATTTCTAACCATTAGCAAGATGCATATCTGCTGTAGTTGATACGATCTGTAACAAAAAACCATCCCAACGTGGAGTTAACAGTAGATAGATGCAGATCCCAATTTTCAGTACCAACTGCTCTTAAATGAAGCAGCATTAATTGCACCATTTCTAAGTAGACACTCCAGAAAGAAAACAACTGGGACTTTGTACATTGGTGATTAACATAAGTCTGATAGCTTATAATAATATCTTGGAACAATGGAATTTTAATATAGTCATCTAGGTCTTCATAACATTCTTTCATACCACAAATAAAATTTAAAATGTCAACTTCTTCTTCTCTGGTCTTTGAAGAAAGCAACGACTGAAATCTCAGACGACTAAGTACTTCATTTATTAATTTATGAGCTCTAACACCACGATTATAATGTTTGCCAGACATCACTCCATTGGATGTGCTACAAGCAATAACACCAGACTCAATGAGTATATCCTTATGAAACAAAATTTATACATTTTGCAGAACAAAAATAAAAATGTTTTAAAGCCAAAAAACCTTGAAATATTATTTATGCAAATATATAAAAAAAAAGATTTTTACCTGTAAACTAGCATCTTAAAATAGTTTAGCAATAGCTGACATAAAGGACATGACAATGTGGAAGTCCCCAAGTCTTACAACAACTCGATCAACAAATTCTGCGTTTTTCCATCTTACCATCTGTATTTTTGCATAAACTGCCTCATCAAAAACCATTACTATTTGATGAAGTGAAAGTTTGTTAGCTATGTTAATACCAGTATATAAATTTCATGAATGGTGGATATATCAGTAACAGGAGCATTTATAATTGGTAAGTATGCAATTGTTGAAACGCTTCCTTTATTTGAACTGTATAATGAGCGTATTGTGTTAAAACCTGTCCAAAACTCCTGCTGCATCTAACTGAGATAATTTGCAAGTGATGTATGCTAAATCAAGATGTTTGTAATATTCCTGACAAATGTCAGTATTATTTATGACTACATTTTCGTATTCAAATAATTTTGTTAAGTTAAGAGATACTTTTTTCCCCCAAAAAAAACTGGTATATCACTCAATTCAACATTTACTGTCCTTATGCGCTTGCTAACTTTAAAAAAATCATTACCTGGTTCATTAAAATTTTTTGTATGCAAATACCGAGTCCAATATGGGTTATTCCAGATCTGCTAAGAGTTTCTTCTGTGAAATCTGCATTATCATAGACAAGTGTAGTAAAGATATTTTGTTAAATATTCTTTGGTACAACCCAATATTCACAATTAGAGTTTAAAGTTGCAATTGCACTTTCGAACCCCCTCAAAGTCATTGCAGAACAGCAATGTCCAAAGTTATTTAAAATTCTTACAAGTTTACAGGAATCTGACATTTGCTTGATAGCAGTAGCTAGTATATGTTATTGTTTTACCTTTTGAAAAAATAAACAATAAATCTTGTGCAATAGATAGAACTTTCAACTTCAGTTTGAACTCTATATTAACATAATTAACTCTATATTGACATAATTAATAATAAACTAACTTCATCTGTATAACCAAAAATTATTGACAGAAAATTAAAAAGAGTAGTTGGAATTCCACTTTCAATATTTTCTACTCTTTTAACAATTTTTATAATTTTTCATCATTTTTATCTTCAGCTGCTCGACGCAATAAGCTACCATCAAAAGTTTGATACAAACTAAGTTTCTGTATTTTTCTTTTTTGTCGTGAAAATCTGTATGGTAAAGATTTTTTTTTTACAAATAATACAAAGTGGCTGCAAAACTGAAGAACTTATTGAAATGCTAACTGATAAAAACTGGGAAGATTTTTTTATTTTCTATTTTAGAGCTTTCAAATATATTATTCAATTTTCTTTTTCTGGCTCTTTCAATACTTATAACATTTTAGATGGTATACCAAATGAGAGTTTTTGTCAAAATTTTTAGGGCAACTTACAACTTTATATGCTTTACCCGTAGCTTCTGAATTTTCGTCACTTATCATAAGCCATTCATTTCGTGATAAAATAAATCTTTCAAAAGTTAAATTAGTAAAATTTCTTAATTGTTCAACTTCACAATTTGACAAATGAATAAGACATGAGAGTTTGCAAGGCTCGGCTGCGACCATGTTTTTATTTTGTTTTGATTATTAGAATGACGAGTAATTTGCCGCATGAATTTCTTTGAAATGAGCTCGAGCAAAATAATATTAAAATATGCTTTATTTTTTATTGATAATTTTTAACGAAACGAAACGATATTTGTGTAAATTGATTTTTATAGGGGGTTCTAACACTTTTTTTCTCAAAAACTGCAGAAGAAAAACTTGGGAACTTTTTTCATAATGTTATTACATATAATAAAATACTATTTCTAAAAAAATTACATTGTTCTGAGAGGAAGGTCACCGACCAATGCGATTAGCATGCACGGATCGCGATCTATAAGTGTTAAGTTTAATTTTGTTGCATCACTAGGATGTACATAAGGGAAAAGACTAAAAAAAATTAATGGACGATTTACTTTTGAATGTTATAATCACTACTTGTATGTAATCCCTAATCCAAGTCATATGCTAAAATTAGCTAGAAATGTGTTATGTGATTTAGAGGTACTTAAGGATTGTAAAATACATTAAATGGAGTTATATAAAAGCTTTATATGAAATACAAGAAGAACAAGGATTAAAATTTACAAATAAAATCTCAATAAAACATATTTATTTCCAGCGTCACAAAATGAATGTTAAGTTTGCTGCACAAACACTTAGTAGTTCAGTTGCAGATGAAATTGAATTTCGTATGTTTTCCAAACATCCAAATTTCAAGCATGCTGAAGGAACTATAAATTTTATAAGGGTCATTGACAAATTATTTGATATGCTGAACTCTAAAAATCTTTTTTCAAAATCATATAAGAAAGCTCTTTTTTTAAATGATTATCCTTATTGGAATGTAACTTTTGATCAAATAATAAACTACTTGTCAAAATTGACAGATGCTAATGGTACTCCATTATTAAAACATAGGAGAAAACCTTTGTATTAGGGTTAATTATGGTTACAAAAAGTCTTCAACACTTAGTAACACTTTAACTATGAGCTTTTGACTTTAAATGATCATCCTTTTAAATTTTGCCCAACATACAAATTTTTGCAAGATCATCATGGAGCATCAGTTTTTTCATTGATTAACATAAAAAATAGGGGTGGGCTTATTGCTTCATGAAATGATGTTATACAAATTATAATAGTATGTGAAAGCGTTTTCAAAATTTATATCAGCGGTGACAATTTCAAAAAACCAAAAATAAATGTGGAGCGAAACCTTAAACTGAAAATGATTTATGCATTTAATAAAATTATTAGTGAAAAACATTTTTTTAAAGACCTAAATGAACATGATGCTGAGCATGAAACTGTCACCAAAGACATGCATTCCACACAACTAATAAAAATGTTAGCAAATGACTTTTTTACAATCAGACTGCAAAGATATGGCCAATTATATACAGAAAAAGTTTTAAGAAAATTAATGATTGGTCTTCGTCAACAATCAAATAAATTAATTATATTTATAGGTTTATAACATAAATATATAATATATAAAAGGATAATAAATTATTTAAAAATTTAAAAATTAAGTATATATATATATATATATATATATATATATATATATATATATATATATATATATATATATATATATATATATATATATATATATATATATATATATATATATATATATATATATATATATATATATATTATAAATAAAAATAATAAATTAAGTTTTATTAAATGTTACTTTTCTTGATTTGTTTACTTATATTGAAAAACTCGCTTTTCAAAGGAAAGATATTCTTTATATACCTGAATACCTATGGAGCTTTATTGTATTGAAAACCTTACTAGATTATAATATAACATTGAATTAAATTTATTTATATACATATAATAATGATTTTTATGATAACAAGAAGTGTTTAACCATAAATAAAATTCTAACATTTCTAGAAGGAACCTCTAAGTTGTGTCACACAGAGCTTAGTTAGTAGTCAAGATAGTTTTATAAAATGTTTCATTACAAGTTTTAACTTACCTTGCAGTTATATTATAATACCTCCTAGCATTACTGCATAGGGTAATTAATGACTAACAGGTGCATAAAATGTTAATAGATTAAAGATTAAAATCTAATTAAATCTAAGATTTTAGTTGAAAGTTAAGTTTTAAAATCACACAAATTTAAATTTTAAAATCAAAAAAAATGAAAAAAGTATGATTTTGAAATTGCAATGCATATTTTACATAATTATTTAATTTTAAATCAAAATCAAAATAACATTAAATTTTTTCAGATATCTGTGTATTGATTTTTTATTGATTACATTTTTAAAAAATTTTAAGCTTCGTATTTGTTTGGTTTTGATAAATAGCGTAAAGATTTTGCCCCCCATAATGGCCGATTTTTGATTCACTTTTTCTTATACCGATTTACGGCAGTTAAACATCTAGTTATTCTTAATATATAATTGGCAAATCCAGGTTTCGCGTTTTTTGTAAAATCCTAACCCGAATATAATAAGTGCTTGATTATCGAATTCGTTTTTAATAGTGATAAGTTATAACAAATTTTGCTATAATATATTTAATAATTATTTAATATAATAAACATATTAAACTATTTATCTATCGCAAATTTATTTATTTATTAATAAAGCTGTGACTTTATTAATACAGCAAGTGTGATTTGCTCACTGAAACAGCCATTCACAAAAAAAAGTTGCTTAAATTATCGTTCTTTGATAGACGAGATTGTTTTTGAACTCATTTAAGTTATGAGAATCGACTACTATATCCGGTATTTCATTCCATGCGGTTATTGCTCAATTAATAATGATATAGTTATGTCTGGAAGCACTCCCAGTTAACCAGTCCAACTGGGTCCCAGCTGGGATTCAGCTGGGATTACTGGGATTCGGTACTGGTTGGCATTTGTTCTGGATGCCAGATGGGTCCAATATGGTGTGAAAATAATGCCGCAAATAAAATCTGGGATTGGCATGGGGCTTCCGTAAATGGTTTACGGCTGGTTTGAAAATGGGACTCGTGTTTTAATGGTAGCGTGTATTTTCTAATCAAAAGAGTTTTTTTGGCATCGTTTTTATTAAAAAGTTTTGTTGAAATAAAATTACAAAATTTTTTTTAAGAGTCATGCAGCAACGCAGCTTGATTTAAATTGAATATACGCTTGCATTTAGAATGAATATACAAAGGAACTTCATTTGGTTTTTTTTTAATGTATTTTTTGTAAAAAAACATTTACATATCAGTTTTAATTCTATATTAAAAGTATGAATATGTTAAAACTGGTCCTACTGCATTTTCTCCCCGCCCCTCCTTTTTTTTATAGTTGATTATGATAGAAAATTTTATGCTGATTAAGAATTGTATAAAAACATAGGTCTGAAAATTAACAGAAAGTGCTCTAATTTGATGTTAAAGTTTAAAAAATTACACTGATATTCGCTAAAAAAAACGCTAATATTCGCCATTTTTTAATTAAAAAATGGCGTTCTTAATTAAAAAATGACGTTCTTGGGACAGCTAGGTAGGCATTATAACTATCCGTGCTAACCGTGGGTTATAATAAAAAAACTTATTATAGATGTTTTTTTTTTAAAGTCTGGTTTCTATCAACATTTCAAGGCAAAAATGCTAAGCGTATCATTTTCTGATTTATCACTTGCCCAAACCCTAACCCTGTCCCAAATCGTAGACGTTTAATCGCGCCAATCCCTATTTGCCAGTCGATGTATGTACATTCAATTGCACCAATCCCTATTTTTCAGTCGAAATATGTACATTGTAAAAAGCAATATTTGAAAAAATAATAATTAAAGTTATAAAAAATACAGTTATGAAAACATTTAGTTCAATTATAAATTAACTTTGATGACAATAAAAACCGGGTCGCGTAATTAAAAAAAGATTTTAAATTTCATTGATCGATTTCAAAATGTTAAATTTGATGAAATTTTACATTTTCAATGTTAAATTTCATCAAAATTTGAAAATGTTTAATTTGATGAAATTTAACATTTTCAAATCGATCGATGAAATTGAAAATCTTTTTTTAATTACGCGACACGGTTTTTATTATCATCAAAATTAATTTATAGTTGAATTAAATGTTTTCATAAATGCATTTTATATAACTTAAATTATTATTTTTTCAAATATTGCTTTTTAAATGTACATATTTCGACTGAAAAATAGGGATTGGCGCAATTGAATGACTGACAAATAGGGATTGGCGCGATTAAACGTCTACGATTTGGGACAGGGTTAGGGTTTGGGGAAGGGATAAATCAGAAAATGATACGCTTAGCATTTTTTAACAGTTTTGCCTTGTAATGTTGATAGAAACCAGGCTAAAAAAAAATCATCTATAATAAGGTTTTTAATTATAACCCACGGTTAGCACGGATAATTATAATGTCTACCTAGCTGTCCCAAGAACGCCACTTATAAAAAAAGTTACCGGACACATCAAGGTACCCCTTGTGATGCAAATTTTTGAAATCATTTAATTTTGTTCGCGAAAAATAATTTAATTTTGAATGTTCAAATTAAGTCAAATTTTGACTTCATTGTGCGCCAATAAAAACACTTGTAGAATTTGAACCACTTAATATAACTTAATAAAAAGTGGTGCAAATGTAGCCAATAGTCACACCAAACTCTGGACAAAATTTCAGCTTGATTGGATGACTGGTGTAGGATTTATTGCAGTTGTAGTTTTAGTTTTGTCAGTTTTTTGCTACTTATACTTCAAAGCGTTACCAATTACTTTGAATTCCGGTCACTATTTTTAAAATAACGGTTACATGAGTGTTCTGCTGTAATATCAACAATTTTTGTTATAATTATTTTATCGGTACATGTGCAGTTTTCATTTTATAAACCGAAATAGTGATTTTCTACTTAAAGCGTGATTTAAATAGTTTTATGCTAATAGCGTCGACACGGCTTCCAAAGTGGAGGGGGTCAACCCCTCAATTTCTAAAATAAAATCCATAATTTCTAAAAGAATTGCTTATATTTTTAAAACAAAAGGTTCTCGCAAAAAAAAATTAGAGAAGGACATGACCTCCTAGTCTCCCCGGCATTGAC